TGTCATTGGTGTTACTGTATTTTCTGTCATGTTAATGTCACATGTGACATGATAATAATTTTACATCCATTTAATTCTGATGCACTCAAAGTTAAGATTCAAAGGAATGCATCATCAGTGCAGATTAACTAACATCATTCAGGCATACTTTTAACAAACCTGATCAAAATAAATAAAACATAATCTCCTTATTTGTTGCACTAATATTATTTTCTGTGACTCTGACTACATGTGCTGAAAAAATTAGAAATAATATTTCATAAAACCTGTAATATTATCAAAGAAGTAAGGTATCACTAGTGTCAGAATGGTAGGCCCGCATGCATACTTTAAATAAATGCACAAAATTATAAAAAAATCATTAAGATGTCATTTATGTCTATTCATAAAGTCAGAGGGTGTTGTTTAAATGTTAGAAAAATAAACCTGCTCTTCAGGGGTGAGGTGTCAAGTAAAACAGGATGGGGACAACTCCCCAAGAAATAAGGACAATTTATCTTATCATCACAATCAATGGATAAGAGTAGGCTATATAATATGTAACTTTGTGACCATTTTGTTTTGACTTTTTCCTGAAGACGCCGGTATAAACATCTAATTATATTGATCTTACAGCCTGTGAAGTGTCAAAATGGCCCCATTTTGGGGTCTCCCCGCCAGACAGGAATGCTACAGATCAGAAGATTTTATGGTTGGAGACAGTTGTGGTCTTTGATTGTAAAACACCAGGTGGCCGCACTATCTTTTAATTGCTTGATGTTTTCTGAAACAAACTCCTAATGCTATTACCTAGCATAAGATAGCAGCTACACAGAGAGGAAGGGGCGGACCATTGCCCCGGACATGATGAAAGCGGTCTTCATTTTCAATTTAGCAAACGGAGAGCAAACACCTCAGAAATTCAAGGATCTGTGATTTTAACCAGAGCCAAAAAGACCTCCTAATTTCACCAATGGTAGGTACACTTCAACATACGTTTAAAACTAGTTTTAAATACTTAATAAAATGTCATCTTATTTCGTATAAACACTGTTTTATATGTTTATTTATCTGTGTAAGGCAGTATATTGTTGTGCATTCGATTAAAATGCTTATACTTTATAATTTAATATCTTATTTCAAATAATATGAACTCTTATTCACTATATATTATATGTTTTATTTATCTGTGTAAGGTCGTATTTCGTGTGTATTAGATTCAAGTTTGTATACTTGGTAATTTAACAGTTTGTTTAAAATAATATGTTTCACAAATTTATATGTTTTATTTATCTATGTAAGTCAGTATATTGCAGACAACAGACAACATAGTGGTCAGTGAAGTGAAGATGCAATAGAATATTGGAACCTAGGAACCTGTATTAGATTAAAATGTGCATACTTGGTAATTTAACAACTTATTTAATATAATATCAACTATTCGCTATTTTATGTTTGATTTATCTATGTAAGGCAGTATTTCGTGGTGTATTAGAATAAAATACGTAATAATTTAGAATCTTATTTCATATAATATCAACTATTATTCACTATTTTATTTATCGGTGTATAAGAAAGTATATTGTGCGTATTATATTAAAATGATTATATACCTGATAATTAGCATCTTATTTCAAATAGTACAAACTATTTTCACTATTTTATGTTTTATTTAACTTTGTAAAACCATATATTGTGGATAATTTAACCTCTTATTATATATTATATAACCATAATAATGTGAACTATAATTCATTACTATTATATAACTAATATTATATAACTATTATTCATCACTATTATTTATCTGTGTAAGCCAGTATTTTGTGGTGTATTAGATTAAAATACTTGATAATTTAACCTTATTTCATATAATATCAGCTATTATTCACTATTTTATTTATTTATGTAAAACAGCATATTGTGATGTATTATATTGTGTTGTATTAGATTAAAATACATGATAATTTAACATCTTATTTCACATAATATCCCCTATTATTCAAAATTGTATATGTTTTATTAAACTGCGTAAGACCCTATACCACTGATGTATGGATTAAAATGCTTATAGTCAATTCGACATATTGTTTCAAATAATGAACTGTTATTCACTGTTTTATTTAAGACAGTATATTGGGGTGTATTTGATTAAAATGCTTATAGTCAATTCAACATCTTACTTCATTTAATAACTAATTCATGTGTTTTATTCGAGCACAGTGCTTTTAATTTCTTAAAACTGTTTGGGATATTTCATCTGCTCAGAAAGACTTAAGAATCCGCAACAATATTCAGACGCATAAAGGATACCTAATTAAGTTCAGCACATGTTAAAACTTACTTTAAATGTGTAATTAAATTAATCACTATTTATGTGCTTTATTCAAGCACAATGCTATTTCTTTAAACTCATTTTTGTGACATTTCATCTGATCAGAAAGGTTTAAGAGTCTGTGACTAACCAGATAGACGCATAAATACCTCCTCATTAATTTCCAGAGTTGTTTTAAAACTTTGCTTTAAAATATATAATGAAGTTTTATTTTATAAGCTTTTATTTGTCATCAATGCTATTTCTTTAAACTCATTTTGTTTCATTCTCCTCAGCAGGCAATATGGATGGTGCAGTGCCGGCTGAAAATCCGTGTCAGACCTCTTCATGTTCATAATTTCGGCGTTCTGTGAACATTATCCTGATATAATAAAAACTTTCCCTGAAAACATTCCTCTCAGTCACACCAAGCAAATTGCCCCGTCATAAACACACACACACCCACACACACACACCATTCCTCTCAGTCACACCAAGCAAATTGCCCCGTCATGAACACACACACACACACACACACACACACACACACACACACACACACACATAAACACATAGCCATAAACTCCGGAAACACATGGTCGGGGTCAAAAGTTCACATACCATCTGGTGGTCATAAAACCCCCTCCCTACTACACATCCTGTCAAAACTTTCTGTCAACCAAATGATCGAACGCTCATCAGGGCAAAGGTTAATCCATCAATCCCGGAAACGGGGAGGGCTAGGTCAAAGGTTAATCCATCAACCCCGGAAACCGGGAGGGGTAGGTCAAAGGTTAATCCATGACCCCGGAAACAGGAAGGGCAAGGGGAGGGGCAAGGTCAAAGGTCACCATCAATCATTTTGACACAAGCTGCAGTATAATAACTACTCATGGAGAAATGTGTTTTTTTCTTCTGGCGTTTTATGGCGGTTAGCAAACAAACGATAGGTACATTCCCGCCACCTATTGGGCTGGAGTGTTGACCATTGAATGCGAAGAACTGAACGAATAAAAAAAAAGAAACCCTGCAATAGGCAAGCTTCCGTTTCAAGCCGCCTTTAACTCTACATGAGCCAAAGACACCACATCCCCCTCCACATCCCCATTCTTTCACTCTGACCCTCCTCAATGTCTCCTGGAAGGTGAAGAGGCATGATGTACCAGTGGGCCTATGTGGATAAAAGCAGGGATTATACAGATGTTGCTGTGAATTCAGAGCTCAGGGATTACCTCTGAACTGAGAGTAGGCGTGTGTCTCCCTGTAAACATCGTCACAGTGTCATGCTGTAAGTTATACAGCAGTGTTTACTCGGCTGGTATGAAGGAGCATCGTGCCCCACGGGTGTGTGGCTGTGTACGCTTCTGTCAGAAAGTTTTGCCCAGGTGTGATTGCTGCTTCAGACAGCAAGGTAAGAGATCCGTATGTTGCTCTGTCACGTTTGACTATAGTCATATGTTGCATTGTCAGATCTCTTCAAATCTTATTTGCATTGTGTTTTGGTAGGCTTTGCTGTTTTCAAGGGATGGAAATTCTGAATATGTGCCCAGCATACTTGAATAGGCCAAAAACATTAATTCATACTTTACACATTTTGGAGCTTGAAAAAGATTATTTGCTCGTAAACCGAGTGTATAATTATAGCCTACCATTGTTTTGTTGCTTCGTACCTGCAGTTTGTAAAAGTAATGAACCATTTCTTAATATTGTTATTTTGTCAGTATAATTTTGCACAGATTATCTATACAAATGCTGATGCATTGTGTGTGTAGATGGTTGTTTTATAGGTTATTGCAGGATTATGGTTATGCGACCTTTAGAAACAGCTAATCCATGTACTGAAAAAGTAGAATCCTTATTGTTTTGTCCCTCATTCTCTCTCTCAAAGTCTTTCCTTCCCTTTTGCCCTTCACATAGGGCATGCTTTTCCCACATTGCGCTGTAAAGCTTTTAAATCAGGGAGAGAAAAAAACAAACCATTTTTAAGCTGTATCATCTGCTTATAAGGCAGAATCTCATGTGTTGCCAGATATATTTTAAATTCCACCTTTCATGACTGTGGAAAATTCAGGACAAATAACTGCAAGATGAATATTAGTGGTGGAGCTGGAAATTCCCTTGTGATATAGGCCTATCTCATTTCTTCTCCCGATTCTCTCTCCTTATTAAATCATTGCACAACATGCACTACTATTCAAAGGTCTGAGGTCAGTAGGATTCTTATTATTATTTTTGGAAGGAATTTAATTATGCATTAAATTGATAAAAAGTTACAATGAATAGACTTTTACTTTTTTTAGATAATAATAAATAAAAAGGAAGAACCACTTTATTTATGGCAAAAGAATGGCCAGAGTTGATGGAAATAAAGGTCACTGCTAATGAAATTAGGTAAGTGTTCTACCCCCTGTTTTATCATGGTGGTTGTCAACTTGTCAGTACAATCGAGCAGTGTATATTCACAGTATATCATTTAATTATGCATATAGTTATAATTTGTTATATTTGTAGACCTAAAAATGCCATCTAATAATTTGTCAAAGGTTGTTATAATATTTTTCTAGCAGAGTTCTGACAATCATAGGCTCCATCCATTTTTTGCTTTACCATAAATATAAAAAAAAAATTTCAGTGCTGTTTTTTGGAAGGGTTACTTTAAAGATCTTCTATTACCTTTCTCCGTCTCTCTCTGTCTCGGTCTCTGTAGAGTCATACACGTTGACAGGGCTTGGCGATGTCTCCTTGCCTACTGATACACCTTTGACCTCCGTCTCCATTGATGACCTTTCTCCAATCTCACCCAGCAAATATCAGCCTCTCTCCACTAGACGGCCATCTACCACATCTACCCACTCTCTCAAGGCCCTCAAGAGATGGTTGAGCAGCCCAGTTCGAAAGCTGAGTCTGGGAGGTGGTGGCAAGGGTCAGAGCTCAAAGGTCATTCAGAGCCCAGACAGGTCAGGCTATATGTTTCTACCCCTCTCACCAGCTCAAAGCCCATTGAGCCCAACAGAGAAGTCCAAAAAACTGCCCCACTCCTACAGATCTCTGGTATGCACATAATTTACACTACTGTTCAAAAGTGTGGGGTTAGTACGATTTAAAAAAAAAAAGAAATGACTACTTTTATTCAGTAAGTATGCATTAAATTAATCAAAGTGACAGTAAAAACTCACAAACCTTAAAAAAAGAAGAAGTAATTTTTAAATCAATGCGGGTCTTTCGAACTTTCTGTTTATCAAAGAATCCTGAAAAAAAAGTATCAGGGTGTCCACATAATAATTAATAAAAGCACTAATCAGCATATTAGAATGATTTTGAAATGTATTAAATAGAGAAAACACTTCTTTTGAATTTTAATAATATTTCACAATATTACTGCTTTTCTGTATTTTTGAGCGAATAAATGTTGCCTTGGTGAGCATGAGACTTCTTTCAAAAACATTTAAAAAATCTTACCGACCCGAAAACTTTTGAATGTTTAATGTATATCACAGATAGAGTGATAAGTGTAATTTTTTCATACTGTATTTAATACTAAAACCGTACACTTTCTTGTCCTGTGGCATGCAGGACTATGATGAACTTTCAGGGCCAGCATCTCCTGACAGTCCCTATTACCCAAGATACCTAAATGATCTCTTGCAGGTAATGCAATAGAATTGATTACTGGACAATTTTACTTAACTGTCTGCTGATTTGTGCTTGTGATGGCTAATGAGTCCAATTTCAGAGGCATCAGTCTCGCGATGTGCTTTATGGGGAGAGAGGTGCCTCCTTAAATGATGAGACACACGTACAATCGCTGAGCCTGCAGGATGAAGAACAGGAGAAAAGAAGTGCATTAGAGAAAACCATGTAGGTATTTGATTGATGGTGAACCCAAACCCATGGTTTGTGAAAATAAATATTATTAATAATCCTTCTCCAAATCTGACATTCCTCATATCTTACTCATAGATATGTGCTGACAGAGCTGGTCGAGACAGAGAAGCTATATGTGGAAGATCTGGGGCTTGTAGTGGAGGTAACACATAAATGCATTCAATCCCACGCATAGAAGAGCTTAGTCATTCTCTCTTTTTAACTCTCACTTTCTCCCTTTCTCCAGGGTTATATGGCTACAATGAAAAGTGTTGGAGTGCCTGAGTATTTGGAAGGAAAGGATAAAATAGTGTTTGGGAACATTCATCAGATCTATGACTGGCACAAAGAGTAGGTCACCTATTGATAGGATCTGTGCCCAATGAGGTGTGCATACCTGACCTTCTTACAGCTCCTACCTTTTTTTTTTTTTTAAACAGCTGTTTTCTTGGAGAGTTGGAGAAATGTGTGTCTGAACCTGACCTGCTGGCACAACTGTTTATCAAACATGTAAGTCATGTTTTATTTTCTTCATCTGCTAATGATACAGTCGATATTTGTATTACATAAATTGAAACATTTGCCGAGGAACAATTATGTCTATGTGTTTCCCAGGAGAGGCGGCTCAACATGTATGTGGTCTACTGTCAGAACAAGCCGAAGTCAGAGCACATCGTCTCAGAGTACATTGAAACCTATTTTGAGGTAATTTGTGCTGAAATGAGGTCAAATCTGAGTATAGTTATGTGGCCATGTTCACTATTTGGTGTATGAGGGAAAGGTCTATGACTGTCCTGTGTGCTCTTTCTCAATGTAGGAACTGAGACAACAGCTGGGTCACAGACTGCAGTTAAATGACCTGCTCATCAAACCTGTTCAGAGAATCATGAAATATCAGCTGCTGCTGAAGGTGTGTTAGTGTGAGCTTGTACACACTACACACTCATTCAAAATAGATACTTCTTATAATAGTGCACTATTTTTTCCTCCTCTGTCAACCTAACAGAGTTTTTGGCCATAGCTGAAATATTATTCTAATTTGAAATAATTGTTTTCTATTTATATATTTTAAAATGTAATCTATTCATGTGATGGCAAAGCTCAATTTATAAATCTTTTGTAACATTATAAATGTCTTTACTGTCACTTTTAATTAATTTAATGCATTGTTGCTGAAAAAGTTTGAATTAAAAGAAAATCATACTGACATCAAACTTTTGAACGTATATGTTATTCAGCGATTCCCATTACAGAAAAAAAAATACCTCAAATTCATACTGTATTGCCAATATGTCATATATCTTGCCATTGTATGAACTGACATGAAGTGCATAACAACAAACAGGTATTTAGGAAATTATTTTGATGGCTTTTGTTACTTCTTAGTGATTTGTACGAAAATAAAATCAAACATGCCTTGTGGGCAGTCTTGGCCTAATGGTTAGAGAGTCAGTAACCCGAATGTTGTGGGTTCGACTCTCAATACCGGCAGGAAATGACTGAGGTGCTCTTGAGCAAGGCACTAAACCCCCAATCGCTCCCCGGGGGCTGCAGCAAAATGGCTGCCCAATGCTCTAGGTGTGTGTGTGTCCACGGTTTGGAGTGTGTCTGTTCACTACTCAGTACTCCTAATGTGTGTGCACTAACTTGGATGGGGTAAATGCAGAGGACAAATTCCAAGTATGGGTTATCATACTTGGTCTTCACATGTCACTTTCACTTTTTCTCTTTATTTAACCCTTATATGTTATATATATAAACACACAGAAACTGTTAATTCATCGCCTTAATTTTCATATTTATTCTTGTCCTTCTTTGCAAATTATGGAGTTGAGTTGAAGTCCACATGCCTGTTAGTTAGTATTCTGCCTAAATGTTGTTTATTTACAGGATTTCTTGAAGTACTACACTAAAGCAGGCAGACAAACAGAAGATCTTGAGGTAGCTACAGTCTGTACTGGCTTCTAAAAGTGAGGACAAGAGAATAAACTCATTATCAGTTGACATTGAATTATTATTGCGTTCTCTTTTTGTGTCCTTATCACAGAGGGCAGTGCAGGTGATGTGTTTTGTTCCAAAACGATGTAACGACATGATGAATGTTGGAAGACTACAGGGTTTTGAGGTAGGATGAGACTCAAATACACTGCAGAAATAGAAATGGTTTACTTCACCTTGGACTGCTTCAGTATTTAAAATGAGCACAGCATGAGTCCATTATTTATAAAACAATTATGCCATTTATAGTTCTTTTATAGTTGTATTAGCTCTCTTACCAATATTTGAAGCTAAAATTTCACTCAGATCACATGTGATTGATTGGGTTCATAGGGTCAGCTGAGAGCACAAGGGAAACTCTTGCAACAGGACACTTTTACATTCATTGAGAATGAGAACAGCATCCTCTCCCGTCCCAAGGAGAGACGGGTGTTCCTCTTTGAGCAGCTTGTCATCCTCAGTGAGCCAATTGACCGCAAGAAAGGCTTTTCCCTGTCAGGATACATCTATAAAAACAGCATCAAGGTGAAAAGCAGAGAAGAAAAAAGTGGGAGATTGTAGGCAAAATAAATATGAGAGTAAATGTTTATTTCCATATTTGTATCTTTCACAGATTAGTTGTTTGGGCATTGAGGATTGTTGCCCAGACGACTCATGTCGGTTGGTGTTGACGTCTCGTAATGTAGATGGAAGCATCCAGCGATTCATTCTTCGTGCATCAACTCCAGAAATCAGAATGTCCTGGGCAAATGACATCATACAGATGCTGGAGACACAGCGCAACTTCTTAAACGGTATCAGCATCATACTTTCATGACCCTTGTGTGACCTTGCCATAGATCAGAATTCCTAATGGATCTCTTTCATCTCCTCTATCGTACCCATCATAGCTCTGCAGTCTCCTATTGAATTCCAGAGAAAAGAAATTAAATCCCTCAGCCTGGGAAAGAACATAACAACATCACCCTCACTGAACTCTGACCTGCGACCCTATAGCTCTGCCTCAGTGGACCGCCAGGGTCTGCCCTGCCTGCGCTCCTGGAATTCCTCACAACCTTCCACGCCTCATTGAAAGGTCAATGTTTGCTTGATTTGTGAAGTTATCATAATTTGTTCATTAAAACCCCCCCAAATTTTCAGAGGTCCATCTGGTCTCATAGCGTTATATGTTTTCAGAGTATTTGTACTAGCATATGTTTTCACTCTATTCCTTTAATTTTCAGCTTTCTGACAGTTCTGCAAAGGCACTTTCTCATCTTCCTCTGCCCTCAACCCAAGCAATGGGCCATCTGTTACCCTCAGGAGAACATTTTAAGGAGATAAAGGAAGAATTAGTCCATTTCCGTGCTAGTTATGTCCAATAAACACTGATAATAAACAAAGACTGAATTGATTTAATTATTCATTAACTGATTTATTCTTCCGCCTGCCATTTCAATATGATAATTCACACAAACCATAATTTCAACACAACCTTCAGTACTCGACAATGGTAACAAGTATTTTGGACCTACAAGACTACATTTTCTGTTACCATAACAAAAAAAGAAAGAAAGTATTGGACTGTATGCACTAAACTTTGCCTCAGTGACGATATCATTTACAAAAGATTGAGAATGTATATGGAGCTACTGATAATTCTATATTACTGAAATTGTGCATGGGTTCCAAATGATATATAATGTGACAGTACTGTAAAAGTTCAGGTATGTGTACTACCTGAAATCAAGCTATCCAGTGTGTTACTTTTTCTTATTCAGATGTTTTCATTAGCATTGTATATTCACGGAATGACTCTAGATTTTTCTTTTGAAAGCTGTCAATTAAAACATTCTTAAGTGATCCTCGACTTCTGTAAGTCTATATTCTAACTTTACTCACCATACAAGATTTACACTTTTCTTCAGGAAGACAGAAAACATGACACCAATGTTATCACCAAAGCCTTTATCTCATTCCATTCAACAACAAATGCTTTTTCTTACATTTACATAAGAAAAAGAAAGAAAAAATGTATTTTTTTCTTTTGTTCTTTTTCCCTTTTTTATATTTAAGGGACCTGTGCCACTACATTGTTCTTTTAAAAATGAGCAATAGGCAGCCACACTTTTTGGGGAGACAGAAAATTATATTAGTATTACAGATACGAAACACCAACAGAAAATAGTCATGCAGACACAGTGAGAAACCCAGAGATGAGGAGTCAGAATCATTGCAGTGAATTAAAATTGTAATCAAAAAGTCGATCTTTTCATAGCCAGAGTTTCAGATGTTCAGCTTTACTTCTGTTCAAGCTCCCATCCCCTTAAGCTCATCTGAAACTAACTGTGTAATCAAGTAGCCTTAAACCAATGGTTTTGCATGCTCCCTTTTTGACCTTACACTCATGCACCTGAATATGCAGGGCAGATAAATGGAAGCATTCTCCAGACAGCATCATAGTATTGCAGGACTGCATCCTCCACTTGTCTTTTTCGGGACCGAAATAAGCTCAATGACTGGTAGAGAGTGATAAAGTACAATTTAAAAGAATTTTAGGTAACACTTTATTTTAAGTGTCCTTGTTACAGTGTAATTATACATTTAAGTGCCAAGTAATATTAATTAACTATACTTACTATAGGGTTACTTGCATGTAATTATGCATTATTCATAGTTATTACTATAGTAACTACGTGTAACGTGCAACAAGGACACTAAAATAAAAGTGTTACCAAATTGTATTCCTTTTTCTGTCACATGGCATTTCAGATATAAAAAAAAGTGCAAAAGTGTTTTCAATTTCATTTTAAACCATTGCACAATGTATTCAACCTGTGTAATCATGTAACTCCATTACACCCTGAACCTCTGAGCTCTTTCATTTCCTTCACCTCTTTAAGGCTTTTTAGACAGCCATGCACTTATTTACTCCTGTATGGCACCATTTTTAGACAGGATGTAACAGGAAAGGAAGAGAACTATCACACACGCAACACACACTCATATAGAAATGTATAATCTTTGACATGGAATTGATGTTGAATGTTATTTGAAGAATTTGTGGTTCAATGGATAATGCAGCAAACAGTCATTAGGGCCTCATGTTGTTCATGGACGACAATGTAAAGCCCGCTTGATGTAGTCTCTCTCTCACACACACATAAAAACAAACAATATACAAAGAAACATAACTAAAATTATGCTATACATTGGATTTGACAGCAATTACACCAGATTCTTACATGTTTTTACTCTACAGAAGGTGGCTGCATACAGTACTAGTCAAAGGTTTGTACAAACTGTTTCTCATGATCTCAAAGTGCCTAAGTCTTTACAAAACATCATTTTTAGGCCGAGTTTGGCTACTTAAAAAGCAAAAAATATATATATATATAATTTAATTTTGATGAATGTTTTTGGGGGCTCAATGTTTTTAATCCCAACAATTATTACAAAATGAGGAAAATAATAATAATTAAGAATGAGATGTATCCAAATTTTTGACAGCTACTGTAGATATCACCTTAGTGGTCGTTTTATTAGTGACTTCTTCATTATTTGCACATAATGTGCTATTTACTCTGAAGAGTCTGTTAATATTGCTTTTTGTTTTGTTTTAGTAAGCTTAGCTGTCTCAGCCATTCTGCATAGCAAAAGCAACTGACTGGAGTGAGTGATTGCTAACTAAATTTATAAAAGGTGGTATTGGACCTCACATTGCTGCTTCACATCCGTCTGATATTTAATCCAGGCTGCATGCTTCAGTACATAGGGACGTAATCTAAAAAAGACTCCAGAACCAATTAAATAAAAATGTACAAAAAATAAATAAGCTATACCAGGACAGTGATTCAGCCTTTGGCACAGTCACTCTTTAGAACAGAAAATATCAAATTCAGGAGGTTTTACTGATATACAATGAATCACCCCACTATCTCTCGCTTGAGTGTGTATGTGAGAGGGAGAGAGAGAGAGATAATGAGAGTGATATGTTGGATTGTCTGTGGTTTTAGCTTGCTAATGATGTTCACTCTGTTCCTTCTTTCAGTGACGCTGAGGGCCTGGTCTCTCCTATTGAAGTCCATTTGTTTTAGTGCAAACGTACAGAGAGACGACCCTCAATAAAACCCACACAGACTGACAGGTACACACACGATTCGATTAATGCCAGACAGGGAGATTATGTGTCATTCCATGCGAATGTCCCAAAGAAAATGTCTCCCTTTATCTGGATTGAAAAATTCTAAAAGTCATGGTTCGAAATATTTACCTCCACAGTTTTCTCTTCGTTCTTCAGTTTCAAAAGAAACTTCTGTACTCTCGTTAGTTAAAGGATTAGTTCGTTCAAAAATAAAAATTCTGTCATAGTCTTACTCCCATGTCATTTTGGGGCTTGGAATGTCTCTTTTACAGTTTAAAATAACATTCGCGTGAGTAAATAATGACAGAATGTTCATTTTTGGGCTTACTATCTCTTTAAATGTGATATTGAAACATGATTGGCTGAGGAGAAAAAAAGATGGCTGTGCATAATTTACGGAATGGTTTGATCTGTATCTAAAGAATTCCTCTGAACAAAAATAAAGCTAAAGAAAGGAGACACAAAAATACGACATCTTCAGGTATCAAAAAAATGTTAATCAGCCATCACTGCACATCTCATCCGCCAGTCATGTCTGATCACCTTAGGACACTTTCCAAAAGAGCTCCCACTTACTCACATGAGACCATATACAGTAACACAGCACACCTCCAGTGTCTTCACAGGCTCCTTTAGCTACTCATGGAGAGAGTGTTCATTTGAGGGAGGATGAGAAAGAGAAGAAGGCATTGTCAGAGTGGGTTCAGTTGTGTGTTAGACACTGGAAGCGGTTTTTGAAGTACAAGAGGCCATTTTTGGTGTGTGTCGCATCAGATGAAGCAGGAGGGTAACGGAACTTTGCGTAAGTTTTGTCGCTTTCCGACTGGCCCCACGGTAGCTTGATCTTAGTGGCGTGGTTCACGATGACATCATCACACGACCCAACATGCAGGGAGCCGAGCCCATCAATAAAGAACTCTGTAAAACAAAATATGGAAATGAGAAAATTTGTTTCGTCTCCATGAACTATGATGTTTTTTCATGTCCGTGTGACTAATTTCTTCAGTCTACAATTATGATGATAATTGCTGTTTCTATAATAACGCATAAAGTTATATATGTTTGAAATAACATATTTACACACACACACACACACACACACACACACACACACACACACAAACACACACACACACACACACTACCATTCAAAAGTTTGGGGTCAGTGAGATTTTTTTTATGTTTTTCTTCTGCTCACCAAGAATGCATTTATTTAATCAAAAGTACAGTAAAAACACTAATATTCTAATATATTACATTTACACTTAAAAATTCAATGTATTTTATTCCTGTGATGTCAAAGCTGGATTTTCTGAGTTATTACTCCAGTCTTCAGTGTCACATGATCATTTAGAAATCATTCTAAGATGCTGATTTGATGCTCAAGAAACATTTCTTGTTATTATCAATGTTGAAAACAGTACTACATAATATTTTTTTTTTCAGGATTCCTTGATGAATTGAAAGTTTAACAATATTTATTTGAAATAAAAATCTTTTGTAACATTATACATGTATTTACTGTCACTTTTGAACAATAATTAATTCCTTTTCAGATCTCAAAATTGATATTTTCATACGGTACATTATGATTCACATGTATAGCATTTAAAACCATTGATCAGGATTTTTAGTATTTTACTATAGTATTTTATATTTTACTAATTGTTAATAATAACAATTATTAACTCATCAGTATTTGCCAGAATTTAATATCAGTGAATCCCTAATTTATGAGTTTAATTTTTTGCTCTCCATTGAAAACTCACCCAGGTGAGCAACACGGGCAAGCCGGGGGTCAAAGCCAACCTGCTGCACTTTATCTGTCCTGGCAAGAAAGAAATTGATGACTCCATCAGTGACCACGCAGTGAGGAAACCCCTGGATGATATGATGAAAGCCTCGCCGCATGTGCAGACAGTCCCCGTCTTCCTCTCCAGCCTCAATTGAGATGGTCTGCCTGTAGGTGGCAGTGTAGCCTGTAGCTTCACGCACTGCTCCTCCAACCTAAACACACACAGAAGCCAAACACTAAGAACAATGCAGAAAAGACGAATTGAAGTGGAGAACACTCTTCAGTACAGGGTAAAAACAGTTCATCTATTTTTGTCTCTTCCTCTTTAAGACAGTGGATGAGCTTGGCTCCCTCTTCAGGGCATGTCTCCAGCTGGGTGGTTGTGCGCACAGAAGACTCGTTCACTGGAAAGGTCACATAGATGACCCATTCCAGAGCAATAATCTGCCCTAGATCTGCTGCTGCCTAAAGAAAACTAATGCAAACTGTATTTATTGCACTCCTTCCTTATTTTTAGTTATTTGATACAAACAGACTCTATAGAAATCGTTACCATTCAAAACTCTTCCTTTATAAGCATCAGAGTACTCAAAATGTAACAAATTATAGCAATCACTGTCAAAGACGGAGAGTAGGAAGGTCTCACAAAGCCTGTTTAGTTCTGCTGTGCTGATGCTAAATGTGCTGATCTCAAAAGGAATCAAATCAGCAGTAAACACTGTCCTGAGATACAGAGATTTGCCAAAACCTTTGTTCTGATTCTCATTCAAAATAATGTGAAAAACAGAAGTCAAATGTAATTTGTCAGATGACATACTCAGCTGAATGAACTTAAAACTACATTAAGACTGTAGTGTGCAGACTGATGCCGGGCTAATGCTTTTAGAAGCAGATGCCGGATGCAGAGGAATGTGGCTGCTCGGTCAATGTCTTTGTGGATGTTGGTTCTTTTGCTGTTGTAGGCTTTAAGGACCTTTGAAATAACTGAAATCATTAGTCGAAGTGATATGGAACTTCAATGCGGTCAAGACCTGCCTGGAACTACTTCAGCTGGGCGTTTACTAGAATTAATAGCACACCTTAGAACATTCGTCAGCCAATCAGAATCAAGCATACAACAGCCCTGTATTATAATTATTTTTAACCAACTAGTGTTTTTAAAAATATATATGAAGTCAGTTCCCGGCTTTATATTCACACAGGTGTCCTAACAAAGTAACCATGGGTCAAGTTCATCATATGAGTAGGTTTCACAAACACCTAAAAGATCATATTTGTAAAATATATTTTTCAACAATATATATAATATATATATATAAAATTCTGCTGGAAAGGTGTTTGTGCTACATTTTTGATGGTTGGTATTTTGTTATATAATGCAATGGCATTCATATACTTTGAGTGTCACTTAAGTGTCAATTATGTTTTGGTGCCCATATAGAGCAAAAATAAATAAATAAATAGAAAAAAAAGATGCAGGGTTCCTCATTTTTACCATGGCACAGAGAGTGTTTTCTCTAAAACCATTGCTAAAGAAAATAATACCATGATGTATAACTCCAAAAACACTTGGTATTTTCAATTAGCAAAGACAGGTTGTTGCTGTGGATATTGTGAGGTGGGAGGTTTAACTGGGGACTCTGCCAGTTCCAAAGGTGTAAGTTCCTCACCACAAGAGGGACCTGAAGAAACACTTTGCTTCCCTCAAGGGTTTTTTAAGCCATTGATGTGCACCTGAGCCACCCAACACATACAATGTCTCTGCAATGGCTCATCACTAGATAAGACCAGATTATAAGTGTATACTATCATATTGTTTTTTGTCTTTATTTGATGAAAAACATATTATGGTAGAACTTTGCTGTGCAGGAAAACACTATATATCATGCTACATACAGTATATATTTGAACGTTTTCTCACCAGGTCAAGTGTGGTTTTCTCCAGCACATCCACCAGCTTCTCTAGCTTTGTGTTGGCAGTGAAGATGAAGTCATCATCCACCCACAGCACATACTTGGTTGTGACCTGTGACACGGCCAGATTACGACCAGCAAACCAGCCCTGAGACATACACACATATCAGAGCCCATCATACGGCATGCAAACACAGACAGGAATGGGTCATAAACTCTAAAAAATATGGATTAAAATCTGGGTCATTTTGGCAACCCAGTGCTGGTTCAAAAAATGGTCGAACACAGCAATCAAAAGTTGAACAACTATTGATGATTAGCATGGAAAATATATAAGAGACAATATATAAAAATAGTGTTTGTGTATGTCAGTGAGAAAAGATGAAGAAAAGAATAGCAAGTTAAACAAAATTCATTTTTAAAAGTTTAATATTGAATATCTCCCGCCAATTAAACACAGTAGAAGCACTGAGTAGTTTCTTAGGCTCAGTACAGCCACAAACCACACAGACTGAAAGCCTATAATAAACCCTGGAAGTCATTAATAAACTATTTATTATAGTGAATCTACAGGATTTCCCTTTCCGTTTAAATCCCTCCTCAGCGCCATTCCGGCTTGATCATTTTTCGTTCACCAGACACCAGTCACCGCTCGAGTGATTTGAATGTGAGAAAAAAAACACTCAGACAAAACCCACCAGTTTTAAAAGAACACGCTCCTCGCTACAGGCAGTTTCAAAGTTTTCTTCTATTTTCCACACATATTACTGTCATGAGCGACGCAAACACAGAGAGGCGAAATGGTATCGGCACACAGAAAACCATTTGCGTTTGAGCTTGCTTGACATTCATGCTCTCTTTCGGTTACTGATTATGAAAGATTATCGACCCAAATTAAGTCAAATCAACCCAGCTTCCTCATGTTTTTTTCAAGTGTTATATAAACTGATATTAAAAGGATGTGACCTACCTTTCCAAAGGGCATGATGTAATGTTCAATATATGGTCCTGACACAGTTTTCGGGTGTTCGCTGTCGTCTGCTATCACAATAGTAACAGTTGGATAGTACCGTCGTATACTGTCAATTAAATCCTGGAGCTTGTCATAGCGCAGGAAGGTTTTGGTTGCTATGGTCACGAGAGCACTGATGTTGTACTCTTTGAACAGGGAAAGGTAAATGTGAGTGATTTAGATACTAACCCAATAACAATAAAATCCCAAAATGAAACAAGTGAATCAAGTGATGATGAAATAAGTAATGACGCCTCTAATAACGGTTTTCTATTTTAATATATTTTAAAATGTAATTTATTCCTTTGACAGCCATTACTCCAGTCTTCAGTGTCACATCATCCTTCAGAAATCATTCTAATATGATGATGATTTGGTGCTCAAGAAACAGTTCTTCTTATTATTCTTATTCTTATTACTAATCACAATTTGAAGTTTATTCCAATGTAATTTTAAGTCTCTAAGAAGGACAAGAAGGACTGCATTATAGAATGAATCTTCAGATTAATACATCATGGAGAAGTGCAACTAACATGTAAAACTGTATGTCAAGTAAAATATATAAGCACACCTAAAGTGGGTCTTATTGTGCATCTCAAAGCATATCTGCACAGGCTGTGAGATTGACTTGCTCATGAATATTACAGTAATGCATTTACTTTGATCAGGAAATTCAGGAAGGTTACCTAGCAACATCAGCATGACCTAATTAATATTCATGATATAATCCATCACCATTGATGTCACAAAAAGTCTATGATTGTTATTTTAGTATTATTTATATACTATTGTGTTTATTTTAGCTTTATTTTTATATTTGTTATGTGGATGTATGTGCCTTCTAATCAGTTATCAGTATATTTATATTTTATTTCAATCCAACAAACTATTTTTAATAGTTTTAGTTATAATTAACAATAACACAGATGTATTCACCTTTATCTGCATCAGAGCCTGTGTTGTAGAGTTTAGGTGTTACTCCATGACGAATCTTGATGGTGAAAAGAGCCTGATGTCCTTCTGTGTCTAACTGCACTGAATCATAAGCACAAAAAAAAAAACATATGAAATAAAGATTACCCAGTCCTGAGTTTACATGCACATTTGGGATTTTTTTTACAGGAACTACCAAGAAGCTGCATACCTGTGTCAGCTGTGCTGGGGTGGAACAGTGTGTTAGTATATGTGATAAACTGGAGCTGTCGATTCAGACTGGACAAAAGGCCGCTGCTCAGGGTCATGTGCATCTCGCCATCACCCCTGACCTTTACCCCCTCCACCTCTGCTGCCACATTAAAAGTGCCCAGAGAAGCTGAAAAGTTCAGCTACAGGGAAGGACAAAAAAAACAGTGTTCAGGGAGCATGCACAACACGTGGGCACAGAAAACAGACATAAATTATTCATATCACTTACAGTATAGAAATCTCTGGGCAGCTCTTTTAAGGCCAAACCTGAAACACATTACAGCGATGCATTGTTACTGTCCAGCCTCTATAACAAAATGAAAATCCACTAAACTACCTTCTATTAAAGACACGGTTTATTCAGTAATCTAATAATATGCTCTTTTTAGATCGTGAAATTGTGAGCGTCATGTTATTATTCTGCACAAACATATATGTATCAGACTTCACTTCAGTCTGGAAAAGATCTGCATAATTGCATAATTTCATTTTTGGGTGAATTATCCCTTTATTGTCATTTTTCATTCATTTTGGCTCCTGCGATGGGTGGGGGGGCGTCCCATCCCTGTGCGTTGAGCCGACCAGATGAACCAGTTGTTTCCAGTGCTGACGGTTTTGTGCCAGCTGCTCTGCATCCTCCACAGCAACTCCATGTTGTTGGAGGTCGCCCGCAAGGACGTCGAGCCATCGGGTGCGGGGTTTACCTCGTGGTCGTCTCCAGCCTGCGGCCCTCGGATCAAACTGGAGAATGGCTCTCTTCGGATGGTCAGGAGGGAGACGGAGGACATGGCCGAACCAGCGGGTGCGACGTTGCGCAGCCAGGCGGGCTCTAAGCACTTGATTGGAAACCCGCTGGGGCCACCTGATGTTCTCGATGGTCCTGACGGCCCTGCTATCAAAGCCATCTAATCTTGCAGTCAGTGTCTTATTTAAGGGCCAAGTCTCCGAGCCATAAAGTAGGATAGAGAGTACTGCTGAGTTGTAAATCCGGAGCTTCGTCTTGCATGAGATGGTCTGGTGCCGCCAGAGTAGTTTCCAGAGAGACTGCAAGGCTGACGCAGCCAGGGCTCTTCTGCGGGTAATCTCTGGTTTTACCTCCCCGTTGTCTGTCACTAAGGATCCCAGATACACAAAGTTCTTGACAGGCTCTACAATGTAATTGCCAAGCCACAGAGAAGTTGGATGCGGTCCGTCACCGACATACATGAACTTGGTTTTTGTCCAGCTCACCTGAAGGCCAAGCTTCTCAGCCTCTTCGCTGTATATGCCCAGTGCATCTCTCAGCTGGTTGTAGGACGTGCTGAGCAGGATGGTGTCGTCAGCGTACTCCAGGTCAGTCAGGTGGTAACTGCCGAAGGACACTCCGGGGACCCGCTCACACACCCTAGACATCAGATGGTCAATGATGCAGTCGAAGAGGTCAGGAGCAGCCACGCAGCCCTGGCGAACGCCACTGGAGATGGAAAACCAGTCTGAGTCTCTGCCGTTGATGCGGACACAGCTCTGAGCGTTGCTATAAAGCAGCTTGAACAGGGCAACGATCTTGGGTGGTGCTCCAAGGGCGCCCCTTTATTGTCAGTGTTAATATTCATTATATTTGAATAAAGATTTATCTCATCACATCTCTTCAGTCATATGGCAATATTAATCTAACAAGGCACAAAAAGAGTAATACCTGGTATAAGGATAGTTTTAAGTGGCCGAACCTCCACACCCTGTGTTGGGTACTGCAGGGGGTTGTTAGCTTCAGATACAATCAGCAGGTCAGCAGGGGTCTGCGACCTATACACACCAGAGTTATCATTGACTAAAATTAAAACGAAACATTTTATTACTTGAAATTAAATAAACATTAAAAGGAAAATTGAATAAAATATCAAAAAAACATTTTATTTTAGCCAGTTGCCGTACTAAAATAACTACCGGTAAAAACAAATAAACTAAAACTAATACTTAAAAAATACATATTTGTTACATGTTCCCTTGTTTTGTGTTTCTTGTTTTTGTTATTTGGACTTTTATATTGGCGTGCATTTTCTGTTCCCACTGTTCACGTTCTGAGTTTAGTTCCTGTTTTACTTTGTTTCTATAGTCAAGTGACCTTTATTTTTATGGTACATTATAAATTAGGCTGCGTTTACACTTGGCATTAACATGCGATCACCGTGATCCGATCAAGCAGATCGGATCATTAGGCAATCAGGACATGGCACGTTTACATTTGTTCACATTAAGTAGCCTCTGTATCTGGATAACCGATCGGATTTCTGTTTCCTGCATAATATTTAAATTAGGTCTGTGGCACGACACCAGATTAAGAGTAAAGATGATACCAATTAAACAATGTACCAATTGCTTTCACTCACTCACTTTACTTGCCTGTGCAATCTCCAGTCTTAGATCAAATTAAGTTTTTTGAACGAAGGAATACTTCCAGAGTTAATCATACAAAAATAACTGGGTTGATCGTGTTTAACATGTCACATCATCGATCATCTGGGTTTAAGGTTATAGCGTGCAAGGATATTGACAGAAATGGGAGATTGATAAACATGCTGAAACAATAAAAACATTTAACATTTAAAACATTAAAAAATTCCGATTACGATTATTCCTCTGGCAAAGCAGCGTGCAGCTCTTCATTAAGATCTCATGACTGACTGTGATTGTACAGGCGATCGCCTCGTTCAGATAATGTTGCACAATTAAAATGAAAAAATGACACACATAGTATCATGTAAGTCTAAATAAACTGTTTTAAAGAATGACGTTTATTGTAAGGTTCAAGTAAGTTTAATTTCTTGTCTAAACTGCGTCTGTCCATTATTTTATGACAGGCACGCGGGGATTTATATGACGTCCACCTGTGAATGCAGACACGATGGCTGGATTGCGTTTACATTACATAAAGATCCGATCACAATGCGTCCTCGACTACCTCCGAACCTGGACACGCGGATAACATTCCGATCAGAAGTGCGTTTACACTGGTCTTTTCAATGTGTATGTGGACAACATCCGGATACAGGTCGCATGTTAATGCCAAGTCTAAACGCAGCCTTACAGATTGTTTCAAAGCAGCTTTATAGTTACTCTTGTTTGTTGCCATAGTGATTGATTACCCACACCTGCTTCTTGTTTGCCTCTTGTTACCCTGTGTGTTTATATCCCAGTGTTTCTTTTGTTCATTGTCTGGTAGTGATGGGAGAAAAGAAGCTTTTCAAAGCTTCGAATCAATTTAACCAATTGCTTCGCAAAATGATTCACTGTTTCGAAGCGTTCGAAATGCTACACGCTGGTGACCCCTGCTGGTCAGAAAAGTGGAAATACAACAAAAACTTAGGCCAAACATGCATCAAAACCACCTTTTGCACAAGCGTGGTTTCTCCAGAGAGAAATCGCAGCTCATAAGCAAACTATACACGCTGCTGAGACATTACATGTCACATCGATGCCACGTGTCTTTACGGGATTTTTACGGGTTGTGTGTGAACGCACTCTCTGATTCCGGAAAATCACTGGCAGTGTGAATGAACCAAAATCAAACGAACCCGGGTCAAATCCCGGGTCGCTTTATCTGTGTATTTTCCGGAATCTCTGTGTGAAAGGGGCTAATCAAATGCTATTAACTAATCATCTACTAAGATTAAATATCAAATGTCTGTGTAATATGTTCTTTTTATCAAGTTTGTTCCGTGGATTGCTCAGCTAAACAGGCCAATAAGAGACTATTAACTACTATTATTCCTTTTAATTATACTAATGTCTGATTAAAACCTCAACAAAGGTATAAAACTGATCAGAGATCAGGTTAAGCCCATAGACACTTGTTCAATGGTTCGTCGCTGGGGGGCGATCTCAGTGAATCTGCATGAATTATGGGTTTACCGAGAACATCGCCCCCAGCGGCAAACCATTGAAATTTCGACAGTTATGACACAACAAAGCCTTGTTTACTGAAATCACATGACTTTGGCAGTTTGATACATGCTCCGAACCACTGATTCGAAACAAAATGTTCGTAAAGGTTTTGAAACTTCATGAAGCAATGTTTTGAAATCGCCCATCACTAATGTCTGGAATTGTCCATTGTGTTTGTATCATGTACATTGTTTTCAGTTGTTTTTGCCTGCCTTGCCGAGTGTCTGGATTTACTCTGTTTATGTCTGGATTTACTATTGGTATTTTGTTAATAAACTTTTATGCTGCTCTTTGATCCTATTCACCATCTTTTCTGAAGCACCACACGTTACAGTATTTTTTTTTTTTTTTTAACTAATAAAAATGACAAAATTTGTAAAATAACAAAATTACTAAAACTTTTAATTAAAATAAAACCAGAAAAAAAATCTAATTCAAAATATTAACAAAAACTATAAATGTATATAAATTATGCTAAAAGGATACACACATGTATGTATATAGAAACTTTATTTATCAAAACTTGAATAACTCTTGCCTTAAAATTGTCCCAAGTTCAGACATTCTATTTGATAATATATGGATTTATAAACCAAATATTGGCACTGTCATTAAATGATTAAATGCACCTCATTTGGAAGCTCTGATACTCTTTGGCTCGCCGTTTCTTCATCTCATGGAGCTGGGAGGCCTGGAAGGCAGTGTGCAGGGGATGGGCAGACACTCTGGGGAACAATAGCTGAGCAAAGGGCAGGTTGATCCCTCGGCTCTCTCCTTCACAAACACACCCGTTGCGAGCCAAAAGCCTTGCGTAAAAGGAGAAACGTTTTCACATGATCATTATGTGAGTTTTTGACCTGAAGGAAAATGTTCGCATCCTTGAATGCGACAGTAGACAATGCGGGCCTCTGTGTACAACTGTGTATATAAACAAATAAAGGATTTACAGACTAATGTTTTAAGATAGAGATTTGCAGATTTCAGAACAACTTTAATTTGTAGCGTATAAAAGTTTGTGGTCAGCTATCTTTTATTCAGCCACGACACACTAAATCGATCAAAAATGACGGTAAAAACATTTATAACGTTAGAAAAGATTTCTGTTTCAAATAAATGCTGTTCTTTTGAACTTTCTATTTATCAAAACACCCTGAAAAAAATGATCATGTTTTTCACAAAAATATTAAGATATTTTAAGATTATTAGGATTACTGAAAGATCATTTGACACTGAAAACAGATTAATACAGTTATGGTCATTGCCATCACAGGAAAAAAAAAATATTAATAATATTAATGCCCATCATTTTAAAATATATTAAAATAAAACACTGTCATTTTAAATTGTAATAATATTCCACAATATTACTGTTTTACTGTATTTTTGACCAAATAAAAGCAGCCTTGGTGAGCATAGGAAATAAGAAAGAAAACAAAACATAAAACATATCTTGCCAACCTCAAACATTTGAATGGTAGTGTATATCAGAAAGTTAAGTGGAAAAAGGTTTTACCACGATTCTTAGTCTCCCTTACTTGAACTGATGTTTGTGAGGATAGACTAACCTGGCCACACTCTCCCTCACACGGTAGGGGATGGTACTAGCACTGGGATCCGGTTCAGGAAGTCTCTCCTCCAGTAGCCGCTCAGCTCCAGGACCTGGTCTGTACCGGACATCCACAGTGCTGTAGACCCGCGTGGGCCAGGAATGTAGCACAGCCAAAACCAGCACCACTGATGCTACCAGAGCTAACAGCACAGTCTTACGTAGGGAACGCATGCTACAAGCTACAACACAAACAGAAATACATAGTGTTGAAACTTTATTCAGTTTAATTAGATTAAATGATACAGAAATGATATGATACTCCCTGAGTATCTAAATCTGTTAATTCAAATAATGAAGCATTAACTTCACTTCAATAATCTAATTAGCTTCCATCTGATTTCCCTTCACTTAATAACAATGGGGGGAAAGCACTTCAGTAATTCCTACAAGTCATTATATACTCACTCTATCCAATCAGAGCGAGAGGTACTGCAAGTTGCCATTACTGCTTCTAAAGGTCCATGGTACTGATTGACTCAATCTTAATGTGATTGACAGTAGTTGATGTGGATGATGGAGGGCTCTCTCCATCTGCTGAGGAAGAAAAAACCCTTAGTCGTGTCAGTTGTGGTGCATTCATTTACAAATGTTTTTATTAGTGTACATAAAATCAGTCAAATCTACTCATTCACTATATTCAAAGTCTTCTAAAGACAATACACTTTGTGTATCGGCCGATAATCACATCCTTTGACTCGATCGTTAGTGACTAAATTTGGCCGATCTCACGAACCAATCCCAATTCGATGACGTAAAACACGTGATAACATAAAAACATTTAGCGCCGCAGTAACTTGTCATGTTCTAAAGAAATATAACGTGGAGGAACATTGGCTAAAGGATTTAAGACAATGAACCTGATTCATTGCCTCTGTCATCTCTGTCATCTGCTCTCAGGTTCAGGGGTTTAACAAATCGGTATCGGTCGATCGTGATGACAGGAAACCGGTAGTCAAATCCTGATTGGAGCATCTCTAATAAATAGTTTACTTCATTGTGTGAATAATATGTAATCATGTAATCTATAAAAAAGTTATGAGCATTTTAAAATGTATGATAATTGGATTACAAAAACATCATTCATTTTATTTTTAATGTTTTTAATGATATTGTTAATTTGACAGTTAAATGATATTATTACAGTATCAGTAGTAGATAGTGGATCAAAGCTTGCAGGCCTAGTAAGACAATGTGAAAAAGTCTCTCTGGGGTTCTCATTTCTCTGTTTTCTGAAGCTTCTTATCAGTAGCTCCTATTATAAAATTTGCAGTGGTAATCTAATCCAACAGTTCCTGTAACACATAATGACAATGCCCAGTCTCCAAGAGAGTATGGCTTACTATCATTCAGATCATTTTTGTAGTGTTAGATGGACATGTTTTACTGATAATAAGACAAGAAGAATGTAAAATCTGAGACATTCTAGCAAAACAAGAGAGATTATTTCAATGTATTTTACCATTACAACAAAAACATATTTCTGTGACTGAAAAGGCCTTTTCAATAATGTATTTCAATAACGCCCCTTGTAATGAATTAAGCGACTGATGACAAGCTTCGACATACATACATTTGCTGCATGAAGCTGAAATGCTGACATAAATGCGTGAAAACATTATGAAGAATAATATTTAAAGGGATATTTCACCCAAAAATTTAAATTTGATCATCAATTACTCACCCTCGTGTTATTCCAAACCTGTATGAGTTTCTTTCTTCTGTTGAACGCAAAATAAGATATTTGAAAGAATCTTGGTAATCAAAGAGTTGATGGAAGCCATTGACTTCTATAAAAAAATACTATGAAGGTCAATGGCTAGCGTCAATTGTCTGGTGAAGGGTGGATTCTGGAATCCACTGCTGCTTCAATGTATATCTAATGAGTGATTATAATTAAGGTATTAATCAATATTTTTCCTTCTAAAGATCACATGAGTTGAATGACTTCTGTAGGCTTTTACTTTGTTATAGAAGTGTGATTATCAAAAATGTTCTTTTCATGTATTCTTTCAAAGTCTATATGAAATATCTGAGAGGCGACTGAGGGTCTGGCTCAAATGCCAGGAATGCAGTAACAGTGTTCATTTAGCCCGGCTTCCAGAATGAATTATGGACTTCTTTAACATGTGTCAATACATACATCAGTTTCGCTGGGGTACCCTGACAGCAATGGTCACAGGGGTCATTGGAACCTATTGTTGAGTGACCATTTGTTAAAGTCTTTATTGTGTTAGATTAAAGTGTCCTCTCCTTGAGAGAAAGAACGTATTATCTTCATGTTTTGACTTTTGAGAAGACTCTCCTGTTTATATTTAGAGCCTGGCCAAATCCAACCTTGAAAAAGCTGTGTGTGTGTTAGTCTTCTTAGTTACAGGTTAAGGAACAACTGCATTATTGGAGATTGACTGAGTTGTTGTTCTGGACAGGCTGGCGCCCAGCAACCCAAATCTACGACCTGGAAGGTCATGACGTGCCTAACTTCAGGGTCCAAGTGTCAGCTGCCTAATCGATGGAGATATGCTTCAGTCTATCTGTTTATGTGTGGGAAATTAATATGTTTATCTATTTTCTTAGCCAATCAGAATCATTCAACCTGAAGCAAGGACGTAGCTTAGACCTTGGTGAAGGGTATAACTGCTGTGATCTTTGTAACTGTAAGGGAGGCGGCCTACGAACTCCTTGTGAGTCTTGAAGCTGACTTCTGCCAGATGAAACTGCAAACTGTCTTCAGTAAAACTTTTCTATCATTTATTATAATTCTGACTCTTATCTTAAATTGACTGCACTTCTAACTCCGGGTCTCAATTAATCATATCTGGTCCTTGGGTCTTTGACTGTAAATCCCCTTACACTGGTTACCAACTAGGGATGGCCCGATACCGATACTGGCATCGGGGATCGGGCCGATACTGTCCTAATATACTCGTACTCGTACTCATAAAAATTCGCCGATACCACGCACCGATACCACGTACATTTTGCAAAACGAAACTGGCCGCCGCGAGTGCTTTGTCGAGGTGAACTGACGCATAGGAAAGTATAATGTCGGCGGTTTGGGCTCATTTCAAGATAAGGGATGATGACAACAGCAAGGTGTGAGTTATGTTCAGCTAAGGTGTCGAGAGGAGGGAAAGAAAGTACATCGTTTAACACCAGCAATCTAATTAAACATCTGAAGACGCATCATAGATCTGATGGCCGAGCGCGCGCGCAGGCGGTAATGCACTCACTCTGTGTGTGCGGGTTACGGGGGAATAAAACGATTCGCGGGACTCCCGCAAACTAGAAATATCTATGAATAAAACATAAAAACTAAAAGATTTTTATTCATCTCTTGCAGAAAAGCAACAAGAACAACTACAACAAAATAGAAACGATTTACAGGACAGAGTTTCTATTCATAACATGGTTACAGCGTTGAGCGATGTAGCCAATCACAGACATATGTGTTGATTTCTGGAACGCAATGGCCAATCAGAAGCATTTAAGATAGACTCTCCTCACCGCTCAAAACGGACTTTTTTGTTCAGTGCTGAATTCTGTATGCTGGCAAATCCTCTAATTATAACAAACAAAGTGTGGATATTGTGAAAGATTGATTGTGCAGTCAGCTTCATTGATAATAACAGAGATGTGTGAGATCGCGATGAACTGTCAGCTTTTAGGATTTATTAAGGGAGCCCACTTTGCGCGCATTCAGTCATGCCAGACCATGCACGCAGTAGCCTGCTTGCTTTTATGTTAAATTAACAGTGGTTTGTGTGTTAATACATTTATTATTTTACTAATTTTTATTTATTTTTAGACTTGTTAAAACAAGCAGAGAAGAAAATAAAAACAGTCTTCTAACCTGTGTTCTAAAATAGTCGTCTTCTTTTCTGGGAGCCTATTACTTTTGCGGTAGAAATATCGGTATCGGTACTCGGTATCGGCAAGTACACAAATGTAAATACTCGTACTCGTATCGGTTTGAAAAAAAATGGTATCGGGCCATCCCTATTACCAACATTCTTCAAAATATCTTCTTTTGTGTTCAACAGAAGAAAGACATTTATACAGGTTTAGAACAACATGAGGGTGAGTAAGTGATGACAAAATTGTCATTTTTTGGTGTGAACTATCCCTTTAATAGTCACTGTGGTGAGCATTGCCTTATTTCTATAAAATGCCCACATCCGTTCTTCTTGGGCATGGGAAGCAGATACACATTAAATAAACATAATTTGTTCAGTACACTGGCCGAGAGAGCTCAAAACGCTTTCACAGCAGAAAACACATGCAAATAGAAAAAACACCAGCAAATTAAGAAAACATCTTCATCAGTTTGAAAACACATGTTCTGAAAATACTCGCAACTCAACCGAATACAGAAAAGCGCTGCAAATCCTCACAACAACGCACATACTGTCAGGGTGTTAATCAGGATGTTAAAATAAACAAAACAAAAAACACCTTTCAGGTCATCAACAAGTCAGACATAGAACAATAAGCATGTCCCAGCCAGATTCGTCACTATTGGGGTCCCCTAGAAACATTTCCGTTGTGGTCTGTGCTATTGCAGTGTGCTTCTGTATTTAGTTGAGTTGTGAGTATTTGCAGTGCATTTCTATATTCGATTGCATATGAGAAGTTGCCGTGCGTTTCTGTATTGGGTTGAGTTGTGAGTATTTGCAGCACATGTGTTGTCAAACTGATGAAGATGTTTTTTCTATTTGCATGTATTTTCCTCAGTTGTCTTCAGTTGCCGTGCGTTTCTGTATTTGGTTGAGTTGCGAGTATTTGCAACACATGTGTTGTCAAACTGATGAAGATGTTTTTATCTATTTGCATGTATTTTCCTTATTTGTAGTGTGTTTCTGTATTGGGTTGGGTTGTGGGTATTTGCAGCACATGTGTTGACAAAATGATGAAGATGTGTTTTTCTATTTGCATGTATATTTCCTCAGTTGTCTTCAGTTGCAGTGTTTCTGTATTGGGTTGTGTTGTGAGTATTTGCAGCAAATGTGATGTCAAACTGATGATGTTTTCTTAATTTGTTGGTGTTTATTATACCTACTTGCATGCGTGTGAGAGAAAGAAAATAAAACATTGCATTGCGCAACTAAAGCAGTAAACAACCATTCACCATCTAAACATTCCACCACAGCCGTGAAGATAATATGCGCATTCCTGAAGAGTGTACGCCCAAATGGAGGCGACTTCCCTCCTACTGATATTGTGTAGTCTATACAGCAGGCAGTGTGCGGTGATTCCCAGCCTACTGTATAGCTATATCTCAAATAGGCCGCACAGCTGACAGCATGCACCGTTGGCTAAATCAGTTCAAAGCCTTGGCAAATAGTCAATAGCCATTAAGGGCACGATAACTAGCCTACTCATCATTTCCCCTGCCCATTCTGCCGTCTGTACAGAAATACAGAGAGGTAGCCTAACGAAAGCCCCTTGGCCTGTTGTCGCCATATGTCACATCATCCACAGAAGATTCTATCAGACAATGCAGAACCATAATTCTATTAATAAACGTTACCATGGTATCCGAATCAAATCATTTCTATTCAAACACCAGAAAGTGGGTGCGAACAATTAGGCTACTTAGCGGTGCTAATTTAATTGTATTTATTTACTCAATAGTGCAGCAGAAGCCAACAAATGTGTCGTAAACGACTGAGAAAATGATATCAGAGCTAATCACAACAGGGCGGATGAGCAAGCAAACGCGTTCAAATCTTACCTGTAATGTCGCGACCAAGAGGGATCTCCTACCCTTAAAACAACCCCGGCGCTCTTGTCATGTGAACGAAAACAGCTGATAAATGAAGAAAACCCGGTGGCATGGCATCCACCTCCGAGGCAGAATGGAGGAGAGCGAGAGTCGTCGGGCTACCCCCTCTATGAATAGCGATGGAGGGCTGCAGCCTCTTCAATGAGGAGAGGATGAACACAACATGCGATCACGCCTGCCGCTCACCACAAGAAGCGGATTTAGCCCTTATGGTTATTTAGATTGTTTTATTCCTGGTCAGATTTGTCGCTGACAGTAGCGTAAACTAAAAATGCTCCATTGGCCAAAAAGAGTTAATTGCAAACAATAGGCTAAAGCAACATAATAGGTCTATACTTACACACTCTTACAAATACAGGTTCTTCATAGGCATTAAGGTCCCATGAAGATGCTTTATGCATGGAACCTTTCCATTTCACAAAAAGATTCTTTATAGTGGAAAAAGGTTCTTTAGATTTTTTTAATGGTTCTTATATGGCATCGTTGTGAAAACCCCCATTTTGAACCTTTATTTTTAAGAGTGCAATGTGGTACAATCAGTATATAGCACAAGTCTATTTGATGTTATATTTACATCTGGAAGACGTATTTTTAAGAGTGTTTGCTCATCTGCAAGACGTCTATAGGACGTTTCCTGTCAGATGTCAAATAGACGTTTAGAAGATGTCAGTTTAACATGCATTCTAAATCATTACATCTTAAAGACATCTTCTAAACGTCTATTTGACATCTGACAGGAAACGTCCTATAGACGTCTTGCAGATGAGCAAACACTCTTAAAAATACGTCTTCCAGATGTAAATATAACATCAAATAGACTTGTGCTATCTGGTCACAAATTTGACCACGAGACGTGTTTACATGAATTATGATGGTAAATTATATCCTCGTAGGCAAATGAAAAAAATCTGGTCACATGACACCAGCAATGTAAACATCCCTTTTCAACCTAAATCCTATTTAGGGTTAGGGTTATGCTGATGTAAGCTGCGCATCCCAAATAAGGGGAGTGGCAACGCTATTAGCGTCCACAGTGTTTTACTCATGATGTGCCGGGGAAGAGAAACACCTGTGGTGCATTAGCAATCAGGAATCAAAGTTATAAAGGTATGATGTATTTGTTGTTGTGCTGGGGGGTTTTTCTGTGGCTGCTGCTGAGTTCCTCGCCGAGGCTACCGTGCCGGGACGTGGGTTGGAGATAGACGCGTGCGAATAGCGACTGGGAGGGATATTGTGCTGGGGTTTTCCCCTCTTAAGTTTGGCGGCCGCCGTTGATTTCCTTGAATGCGGGAACCCACGTCCGGTAGCGGGTAAGGAAGCCAGCAGTACACTCTCATTTGATTGTGGTTGATGTCTGTGTTGGTATTGTGTTTTTTCGCCGGGGAGGCCCTAATTTATGTGTGCAACTATTGGTCCCCCGGCGCCATTTGTGTGTAAAGTGAGCGTGTGTGTGAGTAAGGGGGTAGGAGAGCAGGTTGTTATCTTCCACATGCCTTTTATACTGTATATTGACGACGGCTATGTATTTAGCGTGAGTGGTATTGATGGGATGTCCTGATACTTGGTGTGTATTTATTGGTGTGGTATTTACGTGATTTATATGACTTTGAGGGTTGCAGTGCAATGAAATTATGCATGCTTGGTTATCACATGAATTGATTTAATGCATGTATTTAACAACCTTTGAGACCCGTGCTGAATATATTGTCCTGTTTGTTGATGCTTTATTCTTCGCTAAGTTTATTGATTAAATGTTAGCATTCATTACAAATACATGATTAGAATTGCTCCTGTCTTTGCATTAACCTGTTATCCCCCCCTTGGGTTTTAACCCCACGATTGTCTAAAAATAAAATTGTTATATTTATATCTAATGCATTGTGCACGTGAGTTTTCCTTGGTTATTGAGCCACAGAAAATTATTGGTCCAGTAGAGAACCTGTAAATCACCCTTATTACGAGTTGGGGTGGTTACAACTTGGCGTAGTTTTGGCAGTCTGGACTGTGGGCAATAACCAGGAAAATGTCAACTGCACAACCATCAGTGCAGTTACCTTCTACATCAAGTGAGGGGCAGCAGAGAGTAGATGGTTCACCGGATATGGCTCAGAATCAAGCAACAAATGCAAATATGTTTATGTTTCCAATGATGATGGGGACACCTTGGTGTCAAAAATTTAATGGAGATCAAATTGCACAGGGGAATAATTTTCAGGATTGGTATAATATGCAGACATCAACGTTCAATATATACCCTTTTTCTGAGGTGCAAAAGGTCTCTGCTGTAATAAGTAATCTTGATGGGGAAGCAAAGAGGGAAGTATTGGCCTTGCCAACAGCACAGCGTACGACAGCTGATCAGATATTGTCATTTTTGAAAAGCATTTATGGAGATATTGTCCCCCTTGCAACCCTTCGTGCCCAATTTTTTACTCGCAAACAGAGGACAGATGAGAATGTTAGGCAGTTTGCCTTGGCACTTCAAGAATTGAGTAATCGGTTGGAGAATAGGGGCGATGGCACCATTATGGGTAATGTTTTACGTGACCAATTTATTTTGGGACTCTGTGATGCAGGATTGCGTAGGGAACTACGGGGTATGGTCAGGGCAGCTCCTGATAGTTCTTTTGTAGAAGTTAAACAAGAAGCAATCCTGCGAGCAGAGGAATTTGGGGAGGTAAGGCAAGCAGTAGCTGCAACAGTGCAGTTAAAACCAGCCCCTGATACAACAAAATTGGTGGAGGAGATTAAACAGGAGGTCTTTTTGCAGTTAAAAGGAGAAATAAAGGAAATGGTTGCTGGAATGATTAAGGAAGTCCGTGAAGGAGTACAGCACTTATTGCCAAGTAGTGATGATGCAAGATCTAGGTATGAGTTAAGGAGGGGTCGGAGAAGCTCAGATCAATTTGACCATCAGGGAAGACCTATCTGCCGACGTTGTAAACAAGTTGGGCATATCGAAAGACGTTGTAGGGTTGTAGAGGGAGCACAGGGGCCTTTAAACTTTTAGAACCCACTGTACAGGCCCAATCAGTGGGTACATTTGGTAGTGGCCAATCAGAAAAGGATCATTTAATAGGACAATGTCCATCTGTGGAAGTGGTGATACAGGGGGTTAAAACGCCTTGCTTGATTGATACGGGTTCACAAGTGACTACATTGACCGAAAGTTATTTCAAAAAATATTTTGAGACCAGAGGACCAACAATGTATCCACCAATTCAAAAGTTCAATTTGGTAGCTGCTAATGGGTTAACGATTCCGTACATTGGATATATTGAGGTAGATTTGAATATATGTGGGAAAGTTATACCAAAAAGAGGAGTGTTGATTGTTAAAGACTCAAATGGATCATTGTACCCAGGACTAATTGGCATGAATGTGATTAAGGAGTGTAGAGATTTCCTGATGACACAGACTGGGGTTAGTTGTGTAGGGGCAGAAGGCGAAATGCAGGTTAAGGTGTGGCATCAGATGTTTTCGGTGTGTGAAGATCTGTTCAAGTTTGCTGATGAGTCAGGACAGATAAGTTCAATTTACTGGCCGCAGGGAAGACGGAAGACAATACCAGCTCAGTCAGAGGTAGTGATAGAGGCATGTGCACGTTTACGACCTGATAGGAAGGATTATGTGGGTTTAGTAGAACCTTGTCAAGATGTATTGCCGGGGCAGTTATTGGTAGCTAGATCACTGAGCACGGTTTCAAAGGGTAGAGTTATGGTCAGAATTCTAAATCTTTCTACAGCCCCAGTGACTCTTTTTCAGCGCTGTCGAATAGGGCAGATTTTTGACGTTGAGTTGTGTCCAAGTCGGCAAGGAGATGTAGAGTTAAGACAGTTGGATGATGAGACAGTGGAGGTGGGGGTGAGGCAGAATAGAGTGCAGGATGTAGAACAAGAACAGGTGTTTCGGCCGGTGACTGTCCCATTAGACCCATTACAATTTAGCACTGAACAACAAGAGATGATTGCCAAATTGTTATCCAAGCATCAGAAGGTCTTCTCAGAACATGAGGAGGATTATGGGTACACTGATAGGGTGTTGCATGTGATACCAACAGGCGATTCAGCTCCAATTAGAGAACGGTATAATAGGATTCCACCAAAATTATATCAAGAAGTGAGGGGACTTTTGAGTAATATGCTTGAAAATGGTATTATTAGGGAGAGCTATAGCCCCTGGGCAGCGCCTGTAGTGCTTGTCAGAAAGAAGGACGGCACCCTTCGTTTCTGTGTAGACTACAGGAGGTTGAATGGTGTTACCCATAAAGATTCGTACCCCCTCCCCAGAATTGAAGAATCATTGGCTTCATTGAAGCAATCTAGAGTTTTTTCAACATTGGATCTAGCACATGGGTACTGGCAGGTGGGGGTGCATCCAGCTGATAAGGAGAAGACTGCCTTTGTGACCCCTATGGGGTTATATGAATTTAATCGGATGCCGATGGGGCTATGCAATGCTCCGGGAACATTTCAGAGACTGGTTGAAAGTTGCCTGGGTGACCAAAATTTCGAAACATTGTTGCTCTACTTGGATGATATAATTGTTTTCTCCCCTTCTTTTGAGGCCCACATTGCCCATCTGGACTTGGTTTTCAGCCGCCTGGAGAACTTTGGCCTGAAAGTTAAACCTACAAAGTGCTTTCTCTTCCAGCATGAAGTGCATTATTTAGGCCATGTGATTGCAGAAGGAGGGGTGTCACCAGACCCAGAGAAGTTGCGAGCAGTGGAGGCCTGGGCAACTCCTCAGAATATCACCCAGCTGCGCGCTTTCCTGGGCTTGGCAGGGTATTATAGACGTTTTATAAAGAACTTTGCCCACATCGCAGCACCCCTGAATTCTATGATGTGGGGGACATCAAAACGACGCATCCGACCGGCTAAAGGTAAACAAGACTGCTGGGCATGGGGAGAGGAACAGGACATGGCATTTAAGAAATTAAAGGAGTCTCTCCTACAAGCACCCATACTGGCTTATGCAGACTTTCAAGTGCCATTTTTGTTGTATACTGATGCCAGTCAGACAGGCTTGGGGGCAGTACTGGCACAGATACAAGATGGAAGGGAGAGAGTGATTTCCTATGCAAGCAGAAGCCTCCGTCCAACAGAAAGAAATGATAAAA